CGCCAGAACCCTGGCAGCCCCAGGGCCTTTAAATCACCCCCGGAGCTACCAGTTGCAGAGGTGGCTGGGAGCCACGGGACTCGGGAGATTTAAAGGGCCCAGGGCTCTGGCCGCCGCTACCACAGCGCAGCTCTGGGCCCTTTAAATCTCTCACAGAGCCCTGCCGCTGCTACCCCAGGGTTCTGGCAACCGGGCTCGGGCAGTGATTTAAAAGGCCCAGGGCTCTGGCAGCGGGGAGCCCCTGGCCTTTTAAATCGCCACCTGAGCCCCAGGTAGCGGTGGAAGGGCTCCAGCAGTGATCGCCGCCCCGGGCCCTTTAAATCACCGCCAGAGCTCTGCTGCCACCACCCCGGGGCTTGGGCAGCGGGGCTCGGGAGGCGATTTAAAGGGCTCTGGGCTCCGGCCACTGCAGGGAGCCCTGGGCCCTTTAAATCACCAGCCTGGGGAAGCTGATCTGGTCCGGCATGGCGTACTGGCTCTTGCCGTACCGACTTACTTTCATCTCTGGCTGTTAGCAAAAATGCAGGTCAGGCATTAGGCATAGGTCTAGGTCACCACTTATTTATGGACCAGCCATTCTTCTCCACCCACCTCCAGCTGGAAGCTGTATCAGCACGGCACTGACCCAACTCCCCCACCCACTGTACAGTTTCAGGGGCTCTGCCCCTTTAAGAGCTCCTCTCAGTCTCAGCAGCGACTCTAGCCTAGCTTTGATGGGTGCCTATTTAATGGTACCTTCAACACACACCCCCTAGTGGTCCACAGCCAGGAGCTGACACGCCAGTGTGCCAGCCCAGGATTTGAGGGCTTTTTTCTGACATTTAATTATCCCCCCCAAAACAGAAGCTGAGAGACAGGATCTGCCCCAGCAATGTGGTTCTGGCGCAGCTGCTCCCCCAACACAGCTTTTGGAGTGGGGAGAGGGTCTGGCCCTTTAAGGACTGCCCCACATGAGAAGCCTGGAACTGCCACACCAACATGGCTCTGGCCAGCCCTCCATGGGAGGAGGTTTTTTGGAGGGTAAGTGGAGGGTGGGAGTGCCTAGGCTAGGATAGCCATGTATAAAGGCGGAGAATGTAGAGTTTAGAAGCCCCAAAGCACTTTTTCATATATTGTTTTGTTAAGTGAGTGAGGTTGAATCTAACCTTTGCGTGATCACCTATTTGTTAATTGTCAGGAAAAATTAAGAAGACACACCCTTGAACTTCTAGAAGAGGAGACCATAAAAAATAGTAATCTCCGTTTAAAACTCCAGAATCTTCCAGAAGTAGTTACCAAGGAGTTGGAAGGTAGTGTCAAGTTAACCAACTCTGAGAATATAAGTGGGGAGACAAAATGTATCCCTAAAGTAAGAGAATTACTCTGTGGGCGACCGATAGTTGACAGTTCCTACAGTAATGCGTTAAAGATTACAGAAAATAAGCCACATTCAGATTGTTGTTATACATGTTTTTGGGGTTTTTGTTTTTTGTTTTTTTTGCAACAACTGCACACGTTATTTTTCTAGCTCTTGTTGGTGCAGCCCGTGAATCCAGTACTGCTAAGATAACTCAATTACAGACTGCACTGAAAAACATCTCGTCTGAAATCGAATCACTGAATCAGAAGCAAATCCTTTGTGAAACCCAGAACGCTGCTCTGTGGTATGTATATATTTGCTTCAAGCTTCAGGAAATCATATTGATAGAGGATTAAGGAGAAATGAAACGGAATCGGAGCCTGGTGAACAGTGCTTGTCCCTTGTTTCTGCAGCGAGCTGCAAATCTTCCTAGGCAGCTCTTTGCTGCAGTAACAGCCCTGCTTTTGAAGATCTTTCGTGTCACTGCCTGATGCCAAATGCCCCCTGCTGTAATGATAGACTGGCTTATAGGCAAGTGACTGCAGATCTGACTGTGATGACCGTGGCAGGGGGAGAGCCTTCTGCCTGCAACAATGAATGTCAGAGGACAATCAGAAGTAGAGAGAATTTTAAATTTGCAGCCCCCAGATCGCCACCTGTGGGAGAGAGCTCTGAGTTAGGTGTTTATGCTGAGAGAGCCCCCTAATGCTTTGGGGGGAAATGCCAGGCATAACTGTGTCAGCATAACCTTCTAGTATAAACACAACATACGCTGACAGGAGGAGGAGTTCTGCCAGTATGGGAACACTACTTCTCCAAACAACATTAGTGATGCCAACAGACGCCATTGTCTGTCAGCACAGCTGCGTCTACACTGAGGATTTTGTCAGCATAGTATCCTGCCTAGAGAGTGTGGATTTTTCACATCCCTGAGTGACATAACTATATTGGTATAAACTTTAATTGTAGACCAGGCCAAAATCTCTGCAAACACCCCCTCATGAATCTTCCTCTTCCACATTGTCCCACTGGGATATTGGGACATTTGCTTTGTCCATGCCAGATCTGATGTTCCTATCACTTTCTGCCAAAGAGCTAGAGTTGTTCAAAAAGAGATCATAGCGTAGTTTCTTACAGCAGGAAAACTGATATATTTTTCATTCCTTCTATGTTGGAAAACAGTTCATCTATTTTTTATTAAACTTTCAGAAAATATTCACACCTGAAGAAGTAAAACTTTGAGAATGTTATAAGCAACTGAAAATGAACCTTTAAAATGGGCAGGCTTAGATAGTCTTAATTACAGGCAATTCTATATGCACTACTGTACTTATATTTTATATCTATTTTATTTCTATTTCTATATATATAGTGCTAGACTTGTCGGAGTCATTAATGTGTGCTTTACTTTATTGAAAGGTAGAAAATAAAGGTTCAGGTCTCGAGCTACACTGCAGTGTTTTTACTGACTTCAGCAGGCTTTGGACCAGGACTTGAATCCTTATGGGAGGTATGCAGTATAATCTGTCTCTGATTTATTTTTGCCAGTAAGGACCAAGAGTGGCTGTGGGTCCAGCATGAAGAAGCTGTAGACTTACTGAACCAGCAGATGGCACAGAAAGCTAACACAAATATACTTTTAAATGAGTTTTGCAACAAAAAAAGGGATGCAGAACAAGAAATAATCAACCTAATGAATGCTATCAAAGAAGTGAAAGATGTTCTAGCTAAAGAAATACAAATATTTAATGATGAAATCGAAATGTGGGCTAGAAAGGTAAATATCAGGCACTGTACTCTTAAATGTATACATGTTAATATAGCTGCAAAACTGAAATGGTTTTAGGAATTATACTGAAATGTTGAGGTTTATTCAGTGCCTAGCACAATGGGGTCCTGGTCGATGAGTAGGGCTCCCGAGTACTATGATCATACAAATAATAAATCATAATAATATTTATGCTAAACATTTTACACAGTTTGTTCTCATGGAGTCAAATTATGCCTTCACAACAATACAAAAGGAAAGTGACTTCCAAACAAACTCTTTATATTGGAGTGGGGACGGGGTCCAACACACACACACACACACACTGTGGAATTTAAGAGAATATAAGAACTTTTATATAGAGAGAGTGTGTATGTGTGTATATATATTTTTCTTATATTCTCTTAAATTGCCTATTGAATTCTGACTTCTTCTGTTTAATTACTTTAATATGAGAAGAGAGAGAGAAGAAAAATATCTTTATTTTATTGCTTTTATATTTTGTCTTATTTGATTTCTATTTTGAAAAATGCCATAAAATATATCTTAAGGGGTTCTCAAACTGGGGGTCGGGACCCCTCAGGGGGTCGCAAAGTTATTGCATGGGGGGTCGCGAGCTGCCAGCCTCCACCCCAAACCCTGCTTCACCTGCAGCATTTATAATGGTGTTAAATATATAAAAACATGTTTTTAATTTATAAGGGGGGGGCCCGTTGGAGGTTTGCTATGTGAAAGGGGTCACCAGTTCAAACGTTTGAGAAACACTGTAAAAGGATATTACATTCTTTTAGTTTGACAAAAATATTTTTCTGTAGAACAAATTATAGCCCCAGTACTGCTGGGACCTAATCACATGCCTAATTTTATGCACCGTGAGTAGTCCCGTGTAAGTTAGTGGGACTGTTTATAGCATATAAAACTAAGCATGTGCATAAGTCCTTGCTGGGTCAGAGCCTAAATTAATACTCTATTTTAATGAATTATTAATAGGATTTTCCTGTAGGGTTTGTGCACAGAAATTATAGACAGTGTCCCTGTAGAAAGTTCTTTTCTTCTAGTATAATTTTCCCATTAGTATAACACTTTTTATTGAAAGGCTCCAGAGACTGCCCTATTTACAAATATAGAGACTTTCTTCTTTAGTTAAGCAATACATAGTAGCTTGTAAAAATGGTTATATTTTTAAATGTAGAACGCAGAGATGAAAACAAAACTTGATCTTCAGAAGGAAAAAACTTCAGGAAAAAAGGATGAATTCGAAAAATTGTCCATAAAGCTATTGGCTGTGCAGTCTGAGATAGCTCAAAATACAGCGGTAAGGAGAAAATAACTAGCTTCTCGCAATAGAGTTCTTATTTCAATGCAAATTCTTACTGTAAAGAGCATCAACTTTTAATTTAATAGCTGGACAAATTGGAGGGAGTTGAGAGAAGAGGGCTGGAGGGACCAGCTTCTATGAAGAAAGAATAAAAGAGCTAAGGACTTGTCTACATGAGGAAATTAACCAGTAATTATTCCATAATAAAGTCACTTTTGTTCTGGAATAGAGTGTCCGCGTGGGGAAGTCAGACCAGTATTGCTATAGCAGAATAATTGTTCTGCTATAGCTATGGCAGTCAGTTTTCCCATGCAGACATGCACGTTATATACATGCAACAGCTCAGCTAGATGATGACAGAGGCCCCATTCCTGTAACTGGCTCCAGATGATTGCCCAAGCAGAGCCACTTGCAGAATCAAGGCTAACGGGGAGAAATGACAAATTGCAAATACTTGATGGCTAAAAATACCAAACAGAAAAAGGGGTTATTGAGTGTGGTCCAAGGTGGCGTAACTAGGAACAATGGGAATTATAGAAAGGAGGACACTTAACCTGCGTATCAGGAAAGATATCTTGGCAATGAGATGTATTAGAATATGGAACAATCAACCAAAGGAAGTGATGGAAGCCTCATTGCACAAAATCACACCGCTCCCATTGATGCATGAATAAATACAATATAGGGCATCTCAAGATCTGGGAAGTCAGAACTAATAGGATGAAAAGGGTAATTGGGATTTTTTTGCCTTCCACGCAATACTGGTTACCATTTTTATCCCATATAATCCAAAAACAGTTTTCCCTTGTTTTTTCACAGGAATAACTTCTCTTAAAAATGTAGGGAGAGATCAGTATCTTCATCTTTTAAATTAAATTAAATTAAATTAATGGAGATATCCCATCTCCTAGAACTGGAAGGGACCTTGAAAGGTCATCGAGTCCAGCCCCCTGCCTTCACTAGCAGGACCAAGTAGTGATTTTTGCCCTAGATCCCTAAGTGGCCCCCTCAAGGATTGAACTCACAACCCTGGGTTTAGCAGGCCAATGCTCAAACCACTGAGCTATCCCTCCCCCCAATGTGTCCTCTTACCCTATGTCTTCACTGCAGAAGCAACTTGAGTTATCTACATTTTAGTTAATTCCTCTTGAGTTAGGCCTGTCTATACTTAAAATTTAGGTCAATGTAGGTACAGTGCTCAAGGATGTGAAAAATCCACAGCGGTAGCTGTGCCAACCTATCTCACAATGGAGATGCAGCTAGGAATGTTTCCAGCAACTCAGGCCTGGTCTGTGCTATGCAGTTAGTCAACATAAACTGCTTTGCGTCAACCTAGCTGTGAAAGTCTCTTCACTTCAATTTGGCTCCCGCTGACGTTAGTGCCTCTGTATGCTGATTTAGTAACACCCGCCCCCCCCCCAGCAGTATAGAGTCGCAGTCAATGTAGTTAGACCAGCACAGTGTCCGTGTAGACACTGGGTTGCTTACGTCGACTGTCACTTGCTTTGAGGAACCATCCCATGATGCCCCACACTGATAGTGCAATCGATGTAAGTGCTTCTGGTGAGGTCTGCGCACTGTCGACCCATGGAGCCAAGTGTGCGTGCACACAAGAGATTTAATAACTGCAGTGGCTGTATGCCGACGTAAATTAGGTCGGCATAATTTTGTAGTGCAGACATGGCCTTAGTTACCGTCGCCTGGGGAGGTGATGTTTCTACAATGACGGAAAAACTCCTTCCATTGCTGTAGTCTGCGAGTACACTATGGAGTTGTGCTGGCCCAGCTGTGGTGCCACAACTATGCTGCTACAGCCCTCGTAGGGTCGCCGTGGTGAAATGAGCAGCACAGGGTGATTGGATTAGCTCCTGATGGGTCGGTCCATACCTCCTGATGGGGCAGCCAACTTGAATTAAAAGCACTACTGCACTTGTTAAGGTTTTTATATGTGGACAGGAGTTGAGTTAGGGCAGTGGTCTCCAACGCGGTGCCCGCAGGCGCCATAACGCCTACCGGGGCATTTATGTGCACCCGCGTAGTGCCCAGCAGGGGAGAGAAGCCGCGGCCCCATACCTGATGGGGACAGAGAACTCAGGCTGCGGGCGCAGTGTTCTCTGTCCCCGGCAGGCGCGGAGCCCCCCTAGTGCCCAGCAGGGGAGAGAAGCCGTGGCCCCGCGCCTGACTGGGACAGAGAACTCAGGCTGTGGGCGCGGTGTTCTCTGTCCCCGGCAGGCGCGGGGCCCGCCTAGTGCCCAACAGGGGAGAGAAGCTGCGGCCCGGCACCTGCCGGGGACAGAGAACTCCGGGGCTGCAGACTGTGGATGCCGGTGTTCTCGGTCCCTGGCAGGTGCGGGGCCCGCCTAGTGCCCAGCAAGGGAGAGAAGCCGGGGCCCCGCGCCTGCCAGGGACAGAGAACTCCGGGGCTGCAGGGCGCGGTGTTCTCTGTCCTCGCGGCTTCTCTCCGGCTTCTCTCCGCGCTGCCCAGAACTGTCGCAAAAAAAAAAAAGCCTTGAATAGTTGTTGGCACCCGCCACACTCTTCTGAAAATATGAATGTGCTATTGGCCACAAAAAGGTTGGGGACCACTGAGTTAGGGGCTAACCTCAAATTATAATTCAAATTAACTCTGCAGTGAAGACAAGTTAGAGGATAGAGTTTGTAGCTCAAAGATCTTTAAATCTCTTTTGGTTATCACTGTGACTCAATTTATTAACACTGATAGTGATAAAATAGAGTAATTATAGCAAAGCACTGGCTTGACTAGTACCTTAAATATCTTTTTTTTTTTTTTTGGATATTGGCTAATGGTTTTGCTTGTGACATTTCAGAATAAACATTAAAAAGTTACACAAAAGTCATGCAAAAATTACATGATCTTTAAAAAAGAAAAGAAGTAGCAGTAAATTAATTATGTGAGTACTATTTATGGAAATATTGTGCATCAGTACTAACTAATTTAATTTTTAATAGATTATTTTTAATGAGAAAGTTCAGATAGCACGACTGAAAGAAACAAACGAACAACTAATAATGGAATTAAAACTTAAAATGATGGAAAAGCTGGAACTCTGCGAAAGGAAGTATGTGATTTGATTCTTTGTTTACACTATGCTAAACTTGTATCAGCATTTAAAATTTCTGTAATCTTTAAGGAGTTAACAACAGTATTTGTTTGTAACCAGCCAGATTTAATAAATTATTTGAATAATATATATAGAATGGTAAATAACTTCAAGTCAGTTATTGTATTTATAAATGTAGCTTTGGCATCTAATCCGTGCACTGGTTGCACAATCCAGTGCTATTCCTGGGAATCAAACTACCCCTCTTTCTAAAATATTGCAGGTCACCTGTCAATCTTTCTGTTTGTGTGATTGTTTATAAAGACACAGAGTGGCTGACTTAAAATAGCAATATTTTAGGGGCCAATACAGTGCTCATTGAAGTCAGTGGGATTCTTTCCATTGACTTCAGTGGGCACACACACACAAAAAATAACTCAAATGATATATTGATGAATTTGAGGTAGTTGCCATGGAATAAATATTCACATACAGTGTACATAGGGCCAGAATTGTGCCCAGCTGCTCTGTGTGTGTGGGCCGGGGAGGGTCAACACCAATGCACTATGTTGCCCTCCTGAACAGCTACAATCCCTGTGCTCTGTAGGGCAGGGACTACTCCTGCCAGGTGCTCCCAAAGGTGAAAGACACCCCAAAGGGGCAGGGAGGAAGCTGAGTCATGGATTATTTTAAATGGCACTACCGAGCTCATCATTTGGCTCCTAGATTACCCCGACTGAAGGGCTACAGTGAAATGTCCACATGCTCAGTCATTTCTCTGAGCTTTTTAACAATTTTGAAATTAAGTGTTTTTTCAGCTGATGGAAAAATACAACATGGGAATTTTCTTTGCAAATCAGACTTCCAGTTGAAATCCAAGATCTTGCCTCCACCAATGGCCAATACCTGATGCTTTGGAGGAAGGCAAGAGCACCTAACCATAGAGAAAATATTAATCCTGGGAGCCCTGTATAAATGATCTTATTGCCTTGAACCCTGAAGTTTGACTACCCTTTTCCTAGCTGGCATAACTACGCGTGTCATTATTAGTAATAAAACTGTTCAGTTCTTTTCAAAATCCAGCTGCAGTTCAGTACCGGAACGTGGCCCTGATCTGTCAGCATTTATGTACATGCTTCATTTTACTACCATGAGTGTTGACTTCAGTGGGACTATTCATGGTAATAAATTGAAGCACATACATACACGTTCACGGGCTCAGGCCTTTGTGACATGCTGCAGTGAATTTCATTGGTTGGTATGACAAAAGCATTCCCTTTGTATGACACTTGTTTTTTATAGTCTCCAAAGTGTGTGAGGTGCTTTTTTGCTCTACATTTTCTTGCCATTATCTCTAGCTCCACCTCATATTATATAATGGGCCAGGGCCTTAGTCATTTAAGTTAAACTGAAGACCTACGGCAATATGTTCCTTCTTTCCCTGTGTTTGTAACAAATCCCAAAGTACAAGCTACGTGGTGTTCTCAAGTTTCCACATTTCTTTGTTATGACGCCACCAGTTTTTCTACTCTTCCTTTCTTAAATTCTTCCCTCCTTTGTCAGATTTCTTCCTTCTCACATTTTTCCTCTAGCTAGAAGGATGGGCCAGGTGGCTCCTTGTTTGACCATGGGCAATCCTGCATGAGGAGCAAGGAAAGTGAACAGCTGTCATGCTTCCCCTGCCATCTCTAAGACACGCAAGCACACAATGTCCATCAGAAGCAAGATTTATGAATTTGTTTTCAATTTGTATTCCATCCACGAGGCTGGTATCGCTGGATATGTCTACGCTGCAGTCAAAGGTGTGATTGCAACTTGGGTAGGCCTCCTAGTGCTAATGTTGTGGCTAATTGCAGCTTGGGTAGGCCTTCTTAGCACTAAATTGGTTAAAATTAGCAGTGAAGATGCAGCTGCATGGGCTTCAGTGCAAGATAGCAAGATGAGTAGATACCCAGGGTCTCACGGCAGTCTAGTATAGCTCACACTGAAGTCTGTGCTACCACATCTTCACTGCTATTTTTAGCAAGCCAGCTAGATCACAGCTAGTGCAGGTATGTCTACACACGCTGCTATCAAATCTCCGGTTGTAGTGTAGACATACCCACTGTCACTGGCTGGCTTTATCTGCGTCACAAGTTGTATATTAGTCAGGTGTGTGTATGGGAAGCGCCTACTGGTGAGTAGAAAAATCTCTGTATTTGATAAACATTCAAGGTGCATTCTAAAATATTGTATGTTGTGTTTACACTAAAGGTATGAGAATAAGAACAAGTAACATTTAACAGGCCATTGGTCATAGTTCTTTGTTCATGTTCACTCCTTAATATGTCTGCATTGGCTTTGTTTCATAGACATAGCCTCGATTCTGATCTACTGCTTTTGCAATCAAAAATTGCCCAAGAAAGAGAGAATCTAAATATTGATATAGCAAAGGTAAGAAGCAGATTTTTTTTTTACTACTTCGTTGGTTTTTAAAATTTATGAATATACAGTAACTCCTCACTTAAAGTTGTCCCGATTAACGTCGTTTCGTTGTTACGCTGCTGATCAATTAGAAAACATGCTCGTTTAAAGTTGTGCAATGCTCCCTTATAACGTTGTTTGGCGGCCGCCTGCTTTGTCCATTGCTTGCAGAAAGAGCAGCGCTTTGGAGCTAGCTGATGGGGGCTTGGAACCAAGATGGGCCGGCAGCTCCCCTATCAGTTCCCCAGTCCCCTAAGTTCCCTGTGCAGCAGCCGCCCAGCAGGCTATCAACTGCCAGGCAGTTCAGCCATAAGTAACTATAAAATACCTGTGATGTGATCTGTTAATAGGTATAATTTATATAAGCAGCATTATTTTATGTTAAAGGCAGCAAAGAGTCCTGTGGCACCTTATAGACTAACAGACGTATTGGAGCATGAGCTTTCGTGGGTGAATACCCACTTCTTCGGATGCATGAAGTGGGTATTCACCCACGAAAGCTCGTGCTCCAATACGTCTGTTAGTCTATAAGGCCACAGGACTCTTTGCTGCTTTTACAGATCCAGACTAACATGGCTACCCCTTTGATTATTGTTTTATGTTGTAGTTTGTATGCAGAAAGTGTATTTCTTGATCAGAGCTACTTTTTGTCACATTTTTATTGTGTTATATTTGTGGGTGCACTCTAGGTTAATATTCTAAAATTGGACTAATTTGTTATCAAGTAATCACTTGGGCCCAGAGGCTGCAAGTGGGTGAGCCATCACACCTGCACAGAACCTCATTGACTGCAATTATTTGCAAAATTGGGGTCTGACAAGGCACAATCATTTGCATGTTCAGAGTTTAAGCAGCATTTGTTTTATTTTGATACATGTTTGTTTTAGGGCTCAAAAAACATCCTTGGAATCAGACAATTTTTACAGCAGGTATTATTTTTAATGTGCCCTGCTATAGCATTGGGTTTGAGTTGTTTACATAGGAGTGAAGTAATAAACTCTAAATAAGTGGGTCTCAGTATACAAGAATCAATGACAAAAGGTGAAATAGTATAACTGACCATGTTCTATAAATTTAGCATGTTTTCACCTTTTGGATTTTACAGCTGTTTCATCCTCTAGTTTTCAATACATGCGGCTCACTCTTAGGCAAATTAACTTATTTCTCTAGTAGCTATCATCAGGTAAAATTGAGGATCCAAATTCACTGGTACAGCTCTGGCAGTTTTCTTTTTAATCACTCCCCTGATTCAAAGCAGGCATAAACCTGACTTAACCAGCCAGTTAAATTGGGTTTATGGCTTTTGTCTGGAGGTGGAGCAGCACAAAGTAGTCAGAGTGGACGGGTGAATATTTCCTAGGGTCTGTTCCAAAGAAGCTGTGCTACAATGGAGCTGAAGATTGGGTGAAGCAATAACCCTCATCTACTGTATCTTCCAGGGTGTGATATTTTCTTGGGGTGCCCAAGACTGTGAGTCACCTTGTTACCCACTGCTTCCAGTGAAAGGGAGTCTAAATGGTAATAACTGGGTGTCAGCTCCCTGACACTGCCAGACTGTCAGCCACTCACGCATTCTTCTCTGGGCTTATGTCAGCCCTAACTTTGCCTTGCAGATTAATACTAGGTACAACCCAGTCCCTGAGATCCTCTGAAGTGTCCGCCAGTAGTAACTGGCTTCTGTCATGGGACACTCAAAGAAATGACCAGGTAAGCTGTCCCCAAGGGAACAGTATACACACAGCTTGACTGATACAAATCAGGATGAGGTCCTTTATAACATTCCTGTGTGAGCTGTATTGGGAAGGAAACAGTCATAAGTGTATTATCAGAGATTAAGATTTAAGAGATACTGAGTCAGGATGATGGAAATGTTACATAAAAAACCAACAGAGAGTCCTGTGGCACCTCATAGACTAACAGACGTATTGGAGCATAAGCTTTCATGGGTGAATACCCACTTCATCAGGTGTCATGCATCTGACGAAGTGGGTATTCACCCACGAAAGCTTATGCTCCTCTGTTAGTCTATAGCCACGGGACTCTTAGTCTGGATCTGTAAAAAGTGACAAACACAGCTACCCCTCTGATATAAAAAACCAAGTATAAC